TCTGTCTGTCTGTCTGTCTGTCTATCTATCTATCTGTCTGTCTGTCGTCTGTGTCTATCTATCTATCTATACATTTAAATACATTTGCATTTATTTGATCAATAAATACAATAAAAACAGTAATATTTTGAAATATATTACAATTTAAAATAACTGTTTTATATTTGAATATATTGTAAAATATAATTTATTCTTTTGATGCAAAGCTTTTTCAGTGTCTTCAGTGTCTCATGATCCTTCAGAAATCATTCTAATATGATTAGCAGATATTATTTATTAATAATGGTTCTTATTATTTTCAATGTTGGAAACCGTTTTTTGTTTGCTGAAGACTGGAGTAATGATGCTGAAAATTCAGCTTTGCATCACTGGAATACATTTTAAAATATATTCAAATAGAAAACAGTTATTTTAAATTGTAGTAATATTTCAAATTTATTGTAGTTTTGATCAAATAAATACAGCCTTGATGGGTATATAAGATTCTTAAAAAAATCTTAATTATTCCAAACTGTTGACCAGTAGAGTGTGCATATATAGATAGATACATAGATAGATAGGAGTGAGACTTCTCTATGTTTTGTTGTAATTTCAGGGACAGTGGCTGAATGTCAGCAGGAACGCTCTCAGATCAAGAACAAAGAGACAGCCATGACGTTACTGCGAGCCAAACTCTACAGCGCCCGGCTGGAGGAGGAGACCAGTAAGAGATACCTGGCTCGAAAACTACAGGTATATTAATTCATTAGTCTTTTTAAATTATGATATTAATTAAGCATGAAATCAGCATTGAACCTATTTACTTTCTGAATTAACTTTCCTGCAAATGACTTATAAGTGCACCTTATAAAAAAAAAAAGCCTTTATAGTCTTTTATCAAAATATAATCTTGCTCTTCCTCTGAAATAACGTCTTGATCCAGTAAATTCCTGCCATTCATTTAGTTTATTTAAATATCCTGTTTAACGTGGAAAATGTGTTGCATTTAGTCAAATGGGTTGCGAACAGCAACTCACATTGACTTTAACTTTATTAATATCAGATATAATTGTTTTTACTGATATTATTTGGTATATATAAACTGCATTTTACTTCTCTTGTAATAGATTGGCACCAAAGGCAGATCAGAGAAAATCAGGACTTATAACTTCTCTCAGGACCGGATCACTGATCACAGGATTGGAAAAACCATTCACGACGTGCATGGATTTTTACAAGGAGAGGAACTGCTCGAGGAGATGATTGTGTTTCTGCAACAGTTTTCTGAACAGGAATCTCTTATGGACGTTCTCCAAGACAGTGATCAGAATCAGTAGTTATTTGCGGCAATAAAGAAATGTGTAAAAGTTTGGGTGTCAGATTGAATTGTAAGCACAGTCTGAGAAAAAGAGCGTAGTGTATCTCACTCCTCTGAGGAGTTTCTCAAACACTCTTTGTTTTCTCTTGAACTCTTACACAGCAGTGTGAAATGCTTTTGGTGGGGTGTTCGTTTTGTTTTCAGCCAGTTTGACTTTTCCAGCTGTTTGAGATTTTTATACTATATATTTCTATACTATATATTTCTATACTAATATAATTTAAATAATATCAACATCACAATTATTAAATATATTAATTGCATATACATTTACGTGACAATTTATAACAATACACTAATTTATATATATAGAGAGAGAGAGAGCATACAATATTAATATTGTATATATAATATTAAACAAGAATTTAAAAAGCTGTGATTTAAAATACTGGAAATATTAGGGAATCCCGAGTATGTGATTTCCAAGTCTGAAAAAGTCATATAAATTAGTTTATGTATGTTATACTCAGCTTAAATATTAAAATTTGATGGGCTATAAACTGCTCTTTGTGAGTTAAAACACTTGTGATTTTTTGAGATATATTACTTTTTCAGACCTGGAAATCACATACTCAATATTTAAATATTTACAGCTTTTTAAATTCTCGGTATATATAGGCTCGGTTAAACCAACAACAAATCACTTTTAAAGTCCACCTTTATTGACTTTTTACATTTTTTTCAAAAAGGCGCTTTTTTTCCGAAGCTCGCCTTTCATTAGGTGGCGCTCTTTATGCACCATGACGTCGCCGTTGAACGTGCGTCATGACGTCAGTTGAGTCGTCCGCCCGCGCTTTCATTGGCTGCGGGACTTTTAAAGATATTCCGCTGCGCTCTGATTGGCTCGAAGGTTTGGTCGCCAAATTTCAAATGCATTTGCAAGTGGCGCTTTTTCTCCAAACCCACTGACTATTGTGTTGCCGCTTAAATGCTTGTGCGACCAGGACACGTTTCTAAGGACATATGAGGCATATATAAAAGTGCTTTTCTTTTTTTTAAAGGTAAGAGACAACAGCTTTAATGTAATTTTTTTGTAAATTCGGCAAAATAGGAACTTTTGGAGAGGATTTTAAATCTGTAAATACTAGATGCTGCGTTTCCCTCTATGTGATAGTCTCAGATTTAAGTTTAATATTGCATTTTTGTTAAATATAATGTAAATATTTATACTCGAGAAAGCATTGCAAGAAACCAAATGAGCAATTTTCGTGTAAGAACATAGATTTTAAGTTTAATTTTAAGCTAGCATGTGGTGTATCATGAGTAGCCACGTCAGGAATGCGCGCAAAATGAAAAACACAAATTAATCACATAAAAATAAATGCATCACCTAGGTAACATTTAAACACATCGTGTATTATGCAATAACAAGTATGTATTTTGAGATGTATTATCAGTGTGTCTTAATACCCAAGTTGTAGTGCTTAAAACGAGAAGTCATTTATTTGAGTCTAAAACTGTGGGTGGATTAACTTGTATTTTATGTATATTGATATATTCTGTAATTCTTTATATTGATGTAACGTTAGACGCGTACAACATCAAGAGAGTCAACAAGTTAATGCAATTCCAGTATATACTCATTTACTGGTAGTACATATCATAACTAGTAGTCTGGCCTATGTGGATTTATGGGAAATGCTCATGTTACTAATGATACATATAACCAGGGTCAACAATTTGTGCAAACTTTAACATGTCTTGTTTCTCATTTCCTCTAGTTTGCTGTGTCTGGATCAGCCTCAATATGAAGTGTCCAAGCTACAGTGATGATTCACCAGTTTTATACCACATGGAGAAAGCTGAAACAGACCTCGGTGAGATGAAGGGCCACACGGTTTCGCCACGGATATGTGCCCCGCGCTCCCCCGTGGCAGCCAACATCTCCACTCCTATGGAGGCCAGAAGCAAAGGCCCCCACAATAAAGAAAACTACCAGAATAAGCGTCATTCTCTAGAGGTGGCGTCAGACGACGAGGTGATTCTCAGCAGTAGCGGCCTAACCGAGGACAGCGGCTACCTTTCCCTCCAAAACAGCCGGGTGGATCATGGGGATGTGGATGGCACGGACTCACTGGAGAGGAGTGAAGAGAAATGCGTGTCCTCTCAGTCCTTGGATGTGGAGTGTCATTCTGCGCCCTGTCTGCCCGTGTTGAAGTTTCAGGAGGAGGTGTGCAGAGAACTGGCTAAAAGCTTTAAAAAGAGCAAAAGTTACGACTGGACTGTCGTTGATAAGGTTGCAGAGAATTACGGGCTGCATAATGTGATCGGTGGGAAGATGGGACGGCAGTTTGTGGACATCCTCTGCGGCCTGTTGAGGAAAGACATGAGGCATATCCTTGCCAGGATATTGGGCCTGTTGGGAGATTGTGACTTAGTGAGGTAACTTCCTGTTTAGTTTCATTTCTCCTGTGGCTTGGTCTGTATCTCGCACTGAATCAGAATGACTGACTGTTTTTGGTCTTTTGCAGCTGTAAAAAAGTGAGCCAGACGTGGCGGAAAATCATTTGTGAAGATCAGGTGGCCCTTTGGCGCTGCAGAGAAGCAGAAAGAACGTTAAGGGTAAGAGACTTGGGGGGCCGTTTACATGACAACGTTTTCAGCCAAAAACAGGAAACTTTTAATGCGCTTTGCCTGTTCGTTTACACGACAATGGCGTTTTGGAGACTGAAAACATATATTTTTGAAAACGGGTTTCAAAGTGCAAGTTTTTGAAAATGCCATCGTTATCGTTTCCGTGTAAACACCCAATACGGGAATCTTTGAAAACAGTGACATCATGTGCGTAGTAGGTGTTAGGTTTTATTTGTATTTTTTTGTAGTACGTGTTAGGTATGTAGACTAGTGGTCGACTGATACTGGTTTTTTTTGACAGCCGATGCCGATATCTTGGAAAGCAGGGTGGCCGATATAATTTTATTTATTTTAATTAATATTTAAGAAATTAAAAATAATTTGAAAATGGATTAAAAAATAAATGTTAAATAAACACACTTATACTTTAGAAGTATTTTTCAAAAATAAATAAATATATTTAGTAAAAAATATAATAAAAAAGGAAGTAAACACTGTAACCAACAGGGCACTCAGTATTCTGGGAAGTTTGTGTGCATTCGAATCGGCCAAACAGGAAAACTTACCTGCCGATATTTAAAAAATTCCAAATATCGGCCGATATATCGGCCATGGCGATATATCGGTCGACCACTAATGTAGACATGCGCAGTACGTGTCGATTTTAAAGGCAAGCGCGAACAAACATATACAACAATGGCGGAGTACATGGTACTGTTGTTGCTGCTCAAGAGTTTGCTAACGCTTCTTCTGCAAAGTGTGGATTTACTTCACCAATATTACAACCAACAGCGGAGACGCATCATATAATCGTCACTTCCCTACAGGTACTGTTTACTAACAAGGTGACAGCGCCAACTACTGGCCTGGCATACGTAATACAGCGTTTCTGGCCATTTTTGCAGATATGTGTAAATGCGAATCGCTTTGAAAACGTTGTCGTGTATACGTGAAACTTTTTAAAAATGCAAGGGAAAAACTTTTCCGTTTTTGACTACACCGTTGTCAAGATGCTAAGTATGGATTAAACTGTGTGCTTGAAGCAAAAATACCAATTAACCTAGAATTGAAAGTATAATTGATATTTGGATTTCCTTCTACATGACTGAAATAAAAACTTGGATGTATAATAGAAATTTGTTTGCTCATGAAAATCATATGCATGCCTTTGCAAAAACTACAATGGTGAGGGTTATTATAGTTAATTCAAATTAAATCCATGAAACTTGAAATAATTTCATAATTATATTTAGATTTTAGTACTTAATATTTAAATAAAAATGTCAAATAAATGTTTAAACTGAAATAAAAAATGTTTTTAATAAAATAACTTATTTCAGCCAGTTGCCAAGAAAACATCTCTCATTAAAATTTAGTTTAACTTGAAGTTCTAAAATAACTAAAATGAAAACGGAAATAAAAATGTAATAGGATATTAAAAAACAAACTAATAAAAATTACAAAAATACACAACAATTACTAAAATGCTAACTAAAATTAAAAAAACGCAAGGGAAAAACTTTAAAGTGTAAACGTAGCCTTACAGAACAAAATCGGACCAGTTCATCCATGTGGCTTTGTAATTAAAACTTTAAAGGGGAAGTACATGAAAACATTTTTTTTAATTCTGTCATTTGTTCACCCTCATGTCATTACAAAGTCATATGACGTTCTTCTGTGGAACACAAAAGAAGATATTTTGAAGAATGTTTTTAACCAATTTCAGTCCCCAAAAAAATACAACGGGACCCGAAACTGTTTGGTTACAAACAGTATACGAAATATCAATCTTGGTCTTACATGTACCTTCGTAAAACCTGCAGAAACACTGGTAGAAAGTGTGCTTATGTGTCGTTCAAAAGGATAGAAACCTTCATAATTGCTTGGTTATGTTCCAGTTCTAAAAATGTTCGTCTTTGTTGCTTTCAGGACTCTGGCCGCCCCACGGGCTCATTATCACGAGACTTCACCTTGAGCAGGGTGGTGTTCTCCTGCATGCAGACCGTCGCCTCTACGCCCGTTCACAAGGCCATTAAGAAGCCGCAGTGCAAGACGGGTGGAGCACAAAACGCATCCAAGCCAAGTCGCTTCCAACAGTTTCATGAGGTAAAAAAACATCCCCCAGTAACACCAAATTGTGTCTGTTTACTGATACATGCATGACTTTAGTTGCATGTGGTTTATAATCGTGTTGTTTTCTTCTAGGTTGCCCGATCGCTCAAACAGCATGAATCTCTGCGGTCGTGTATCCTCTGCGGCTCTGCAGCACGGTTCGACGCAGCCATGCAGAGGGCCATATGCACACGCGGCAGCTGTGCTTTTGACTTTTGCACATTGTGTCAATCAGCGTTCCACAGCTCTGCCCCGTGCCGCAATTCTGTCCGGACCATCTCCGCTTCACAAAAAACACTCATCGCCGGCTCGGCTCGAAGCAAAAGGAACGTCCGTCGCCTCTGAGCACCAGACGGGAAAATGTTACAAGAACTTTTAAAGAACTACCTTTAGGATCTTAACTGTTTTGAAAGACTTTTAAAAATAGGTGTGTTTTATAATCTTCCTAAATGTGAAGTGAATTTGGCCATGTTTGTGGTCACTGCACAAAGTGAAAAAACTACAATCATCCTCTATGCCAAAAAAAAAAAAGACTTTAACAAGGAGGTTAAACAGCCTTTTCAGTGTTGTAAATGTTGTTTTATAAGATTTTATAAAAAATTGTAAATGTTTTATTGATGGAATGATCAATTCCTGTCTGTATTATCACAGAAATTGTACATATTTAAATGGTTGAATAAAGCCTTTGTATATTTTTAAACTTCGCTTCTTTATTGACTGCCAATGTAATTGAGTTCCAAGTCAAATTTGTAGGATGTTTGTGTGTAGAGTGTATATTTTTCTTCATAACTGTCACTTGACTTAGCAAATGGTCTCCAGTTAGTGTCTTAGAGCGTTATTTACATTTTACAATATGTATAATTTTACATTTAGTCATTTAGCAGATGCTTTTATCCAAAGCGACTTACAAATGAGGACAATAAAAGCAGTCAAAACTAACAAAAGAGCAACAATATATAAGTGCAAATGACAAGTCTCGGTTAGCCTAACGCAGTACACGTAGCAAGGTGTATATATATATATATATATATTTTATAATTTTATGTTTTGCAGTATAATCTAATTTTGTCCAAAAGGAAATTGTGTAAAACATCTGATCACAGTTTAATAGCCATCGTGACATTCTTCATGACATCCATTTTTCTCTCATGAACTCAAAGACACCAAATATGATCTGATCAGGTTTATCCTAATGAGTTTGTTTACAGGTGGTTAGCTGGTATGTTATGTTAGTTGTTAGTTGTGTGGTCTTTGACGAAGACACAAAATGGAGACCAGACGCTGTTTTCAAGCCGTTTTGTTTTTGGCTAGATGGCGCCAGAGAGCTTTTCTATTTACACCCCATTGCTCCTGCGCGGTTTTATCTACAGTTTCACCATGCAAAATTAAAGTATTTTATTCAGTGAAAGATCCATTTTGAGACAGTTATGTTTTTCCAGAGATCTCAGAGAGGAGGTTTCCACACAAATATAGACAGGCTTTGTTTACCACCCTGTTGAAAAAACCAGCATATGCTGGTTAGGTATGTTTTGACGCTGGGATGCTGGTTTAAGCTGGTCCTTTGCTGGTTTAAACTGGTCCTTTGCTGGTTTATGCTGGTCCTTTG